CGAGCTTCCCAGATCTCCGGCTCCTCCGCTCGCTCTAAGCCCCTGCGTGAGGCCCCTGACATCAAGTCACTTTTTCCTCTGAGATCAGGAGCCTATTACTCACTCTTCCTCTTTGCCCTCCTCGAGCTGCTGGCTCTGGGGACCGCGGCAGAGAGGGGAGCACCCCCAGAGCCCTGGGTGCGCTGGCCCACCTGGGACCTGGTGGCCCACCTGGGACCTGGTGGCCGCATCGGGCAGCTGCGGGAAGAGCTGGGCACAGCAGGGAAGCGCCCGCGCGCCCTGTGGGGTGTCTCTGCGCTGTGGCTGCTGCTGGAGCCCCAGTTTGGGTGATGCTTGTTTTCCTTAGGGACCCACAGAGAGAAAAGGGAGTGTGGGTGGGGGACCCCCTTTTCTGAAGCCCTCCTCTGTCTCGGCAGCTAGCTGTCAGCCCGGCAGGCAGTCTCTGAAGCCAGAGGCATCTGTGAGCTTGGGGAGGGGGCTGCGGGTCGGGTCGTCCTGGGCTGCTGGCTTGGCTGACCCCAGTTCCTGCTTCCCCCCTAGATGTCGCCTGCTGGTCGATTGTGTCTCCTCACCCTTGTTGGCCTGGTTCTCCCCACCAGAGGTAAGGCCGCTGGGGGGCCCCCAGCCCTCCTCTGCACTGTGGGTGGGCACCTGGCAGGTCTGGCTGCTCCTGGGAGCTGGCCCCAGGAAGTGAGCGTCCCCAAGAAGCGCGGGGTCACACCCTCTCTGGACCCTCAGCCCTGGGGTCCGCTTCCAGCCAGTCTGGCCAGAGCCTGTCCTGCTGAGTAGCCCTCCACTTCACCTCCAAAAGAGCTCGAGGAGTTTGATTTGGCGGGGAGACAGGTGTTGGTTTTCCACCCGGCAGCCAGGAACCCTGGGTCTCCAGCAAAGCCCTGCCTGAGCCTGGATGGCTGAGTGATAGCAAAGTTTGCAAAGAGGACGGAAAGGGCCTGTCGGAATGCCCCTGTTGAGATGCCCCCTCCTGTCCTGGCAGGGTCTTCCGAGGGCATTTGCAGGTGCTTTTGACCAGCTTGGTGCTGGGCACATTCATTTGTTTCGGCTTCAGTTCTGGCATGTATGTTGTTGCGCCCATTTTACAGATGGGGAAACTGAGGCTCTGGGAATGGAATTAGCCTGTGCCAGAGTTCTTGAGCAGAGGGGCCAGGACTCCAAGCGTCCTGGAATCTGTAGCCTCCCCTGTGGCTGCCCTCATTTCTCTTTCGTAAAATGGTTCTCGGGGAGTCCTTGAGTCATCCAGCTACTATGCACCAGCCCCTGTTCTAGGCACTAGGGACACAGCAATGAAAAAGACAGGAGTTCACATTCTCCTTTGGGAGACAGACATTCAACAATCCGCCAGAAACTTCTAGGCTGTGCTGGAAGGTGAGACGTACAGTGAGAAAACAAGAAGGGCAGAGGAATGAGGGTGGTTTAAATAGGGTGGGGAGGAAAAGCCTCTGTGGGCAGGCATTTGAGGGGTGAGGGGGTGAGTGCTGAGCCATAGTGCAGAGAAGTCAGCTGGCCCCATGACTGGCGTGGGGTCCACAAGGCAGAGTGGGAAGGGGAGAAGTCAGACAGGTGACAGGACTGGCCAGAGGAGGGACTCGGACTGGGTGAGGACTTGGGCTTTTCTAGGGTCAAGGTGGAGCCAGAGCAGACTCTTGGGGCTCTGTGTGGCTGTGGGCTGGGAACAGGCCGTGGGCGCTGGGAGGTCGGGGAGGAGGCTGGTGATGCCCAGGTGGGCAGGGCTGGACACCGGATGAGGGTGGGGGCAGTGGATGGGTTTAGTGCAGACAACATAAAAGTAGTGGGGAGACTATCCCTCCTCCATCCCCTTTCACTCCCTGTACAGCCCTGAGACATGGATCCAGTTATTAAACCCACTTTGCTTCTAAGACAACTGAATGAAGCTCTGTGGGGGGCCCCAGGTCACACAGGCAGGAAGCTGTTGGAAGAAAAATTGAAATCAGGGTCCTGGTTGACTCATAAGGTGCCTCTCCCATCCCAGAGAGGGGTTGCAGGAGGGTGCAAGGTGGCAGCCTTTTTCAAAGACTTTAGGCATCAGGGTTGCTGCTGCCTGAGAAGATGAATCCAAGAGCTGTCTGTTTCAGCAACAGACAGGGCCTCCCAGGTTACCCCCAAGTTTTCAGAAGGGAGCGAAGGTGGAGGCGAGAAGAGGGATCAGAGGGTCCTCCACGACTTCTCATCCTTAATTTCCCAGGACAGAAGTTGGAGAACACATCCATTTCTCCGGAACACACACCTGCTACAGACATTTATGCCACGACTGAAATCCAGGGTAAGGAAATAGGGACAGGTCTGTTAAAATCCTGTCATTGCAAATAACAGCTACAAAAATCTCAAGTTTGGACTAAATGGGAATTTTTGCATTTGTGAGACTGAAGACTAGGAGTAGACCTTCAGGTATGGCTGGATCTAGGTGCCCAGCTGAGACTATCATGATGGAGTCTATTGGTTCTATGTTGTTCGGTGTTGGCTTTATGCTCACGTAGGTTCTCTTCTTATTGGGCCAAGGAACTCAAGAAAGAGAATGTCTCCTTTCACCATCCAACAAATGTCTAGAACTATTGACAGTGACCGGGCTCAGGTCAAGTGTCTACCTGTGACTTGGTCATGGAGGCCACCAGCACTGAAAGCTAACTGACCTTCAGAACTGGGACTCATGTCTATGTCTAACAGAGCTGGCACCACTGAATGAAGTAGTCCAAGAATCAGGGAAAGGCAGTTTCCCAAAGGGAGCGCTGAGGGTTCTTACCCGAGGAATGGGCATCTGTGGGAGGAGAGATAGTGGCATTTGGCTGGGTGGTAAACAACCAGGTTAATTAAGTCATTTCCATTACTTCAAAATTGACTTCCTATGGAAACATCCCCATGACTTTCACATCTTTCTTATTCTCCCCTGTTCCGGGCTTCAGAAAAAGACAACCTGGAAATGGAGCCCACCCTTCTCATTGCTGGTGAGTAGGGAGGGTGGAGATGGCACAAATCTGACACTGTTCCCCCGCTTCTGACACTTTGGGTCCTCATTCCCTATTTTACCCCGCACCCCCAGTTCTGAATCTCTGGTTTACTTTGTAGTGGGGCAGTCAGCCGATGCCATTAATTTCTTTAAAAAAAAAAATCCTTTGAAATTGTGAAGCCTAACACACAATATAGCAAAGTACATAAGTTATCAATGCACAATTTAACAAACTGCATCAAACCCCTGTGTAACCCCCACCAATAACAGGGAATAGAGCTTTGCAATCACCCTAGAAACTCCCTGTGTGCCACCACCCCCTTCGTTTCTCTTCTTGATTTCTTTATCTTTTTCCTTTTTTGAATTTTGCGATCATTTTGAACTTTCACTTGGGTGTAACACAATTTGAAAAATGCTCTCATTTGTAGGTGAGACTGATCCCTTATCTGTTCCTCACCCTGGCTCTCTGTCTCTGAGTGGCCCCTAGTGTCATAGGATTGGGGTAGTTCCCCAGTGATACTGTACCATGTGGGTAGCAACTCTAGAAAATGGACTGACTGAGAATGTACGTTTGTGTGAGCTTAAGGATATCATATGGTTGTTTCTCTGCAACTTGCTTCCCCGCTCCCATGCAATAGTATTGGGAGCTCTTCCCATGTTCCTTTGTGCATGTTGAGCTTGGCCCTTTTCACCACTGCATAATATTCCACAGGGCCCTGTGCCCAGTGAATGAAGCCATGCACACCTCCATGAGCATCTTGGTAGTTTCTTCGGTTATATGCATGCCCTACAGTGAGTGGCCTAGACCCTTCCTCCTCAGGCAACCCCTCACAGTGTGTCTTAAGTATGGGTCATGGTTCTACATACTTTACCCATATTTGCCCTTTCAATCCTCACACAAACTCTCTGAGATAGAAATGGCCTCCATTCCCCTTTATACATAAGGGTCAGGAACTTAGGGTAACTCTCCCCAGATGTTACAGCAAGTGGGAGGGTCGTGCCTGGCATTAGGGTCCACAACCCTTTGGGTCAAAAGACACCAACACTACATTTTGTTCTAAAAGCCACTTGGGTTAGGGGCTATGCACCTCATAGCAGCAAGAGTCCCTGTCATGACCCACAGTGACACTTGGCATATGAATGTCTTTGTCTTGGCCGGGGGAGAAGGCCCCTTGTCCATCAGGGTTATCTGTCTCTGAGCTACTGTTTCTCACCTTCCCTTCTTGCCCTTCCACCCTGAGAAGCATCAACACCGAACCAGAGGGAGACCCAGACCCAGCACCCGAGTGGAACAAGTGTGCTTCAGACATCAACTCCCAGCGTGGACAAGAGCCCAGCGGCAGGTAGAGCCTGACCCTGAGAACTGTGACACAGGAGTTTTGTTTGAGTCTTTGTCTAGGTCAGCATTTCCCCAAGGACGTTTCTCAAGGCATCTGTTTGGGGAACTTATTACATCTTCAGGAAAAAAAAAAAGGTTTCAGTTTGTGGTCAGACATATTTGGGAAACTCTGAGTTAAAGTTAACGTTTCTCTGTGGCAGGACTTCTGCCTCCTCCTCTCTCTGCAGCTGGTATCTCTAAGGGCGCACCCAGTACAAAGTGCATCCCAGCCTGACCACGCAGGACCCTGTGGCTTAGACCCCTGGGGCTAGACACGGGCTGTGGGTGTTTCCTTGGTTGTAACTCGTGTAGGAACTTCCCAGTTGCAGAACACAGAAAACCCCACTTGAAAAAAAGTATTGAATATAAACAATCTAAATTCCAAAGGTATGGACTTCAGGCACGGCTATATCAAGGAGCTCCAGCACCTCCATGACAAATTTGCTCCCTCTCATAGCTCTACTGTCTTCATCTGCAAGTGACATTTGTCCTCTTAGTGGCAAAGATGGTCCCACAGTTGGAAGGTTATTCCACGCCTTCCGTAGAAAGATGACATCTCTTCTTCATTACTTAGCACCCAAGCGCTAGAATTGACTCTCCATCGGCCCTGTTGGGGTCACAGGCCCATGTCTGCCCAGTGAGCCAAGAAAGTGGACTGCTCTGATTGGCCAGACCTGATTCCTGTCCCCTCAGCTGGGGCTGCAGGATGGGGCGAGCCCTGCTGGAACCGCACAGCCCCAGAGTCAGGGAAGAGGTGGCGCCCCTCAAGACAAGCTAGTTAGGGAGAGGGGGCTGGGCCCTGTGAAAACAACAGGTGGTCTCTACCACTTGTGTGCTGATCCATTTTGGAGGGGCAGCGCCTCCCCCCTGGGAACATACTTCAGCGTGGACCACTCATGCCACTGAGGCACATGTGCAACAGTGCAACGTGGGCACCGGCTGCCACGCCAGCCCCTTGCAGGTTCTCAAGACCCTCGCACTCTCCCACTGTGGCAGCCAAGCATCGCATCCTACCCTGACCGTTCAGCAATTATACAACCAATGACAGGGAAGTGTTGCAAGAAGGAGGTTTCCTCTTTTACCCAAAAGTGCCCGAGGAGGGAAGCAGCCACAATTTCCAACTGAGAAAACATCCTCAGGTCTCCCACGTCACTTCCCCGAGGGCTCGTTGACCTCAGTCACCGTTACTCCATGTACCTGGTGGCTGAGACTCACCAGCGGAGGGAGATGGAGCCGAGTGGTAAAAACACGGGGCGCCCCAGGGTGACCGGACCGGGGTGCCTCTCTCCCTCTCCACCCGCCGGCGGTAGCTGGCATCTGTCATCTGCCAGCTCAGAGCCTCCAAGCCCCCAGGTTGCACTCCAAGCCCCTGCTTGGCATCGCAAGGGCGAGACTGAGTGCCATGCTCCCCCTTGTGGCTGGGTCACAACAGGAGAACAACAGGAGAGCCAGATGGGCCCGGGCAGCAGGGAGCCGGCCTGGGCCAGTAGACTGCACAGCTGGGCTGACCGGATCCCTAACCGCCTGCCCCTGCCATGTGTCCAAGCTTCTGGTACGCACACTCCCTGTGCTGGGGACTGTCCTTACCCATTTACAGGGAAGGGGACTGCGGCTCGGAGAGGTTGCTCAGCTGGCCCTACACCGCACAGCCCGAAACAGCAGAACCAGCTCCGGGACACATGAGCGCCACACACCACCCAGCCACCCACCTCCCACATTCCCTGGGGTCTCTGCATCTGTCCCTGTTGCTAATCTTGCTTACACCTTCCCCAACAGCCCGGAATCCTTGGCTGTCTGTTCATATTTAGGGGTGAGGCGCTGAGAGAGATCTGGGGGTGGGGGGCGGTCAGGCTCTTCTGACCCTGCTTCTCTTGCTGTTTTCCCCTTGGGGTATCAGGCAGGGGGAACCACTTGGTGGGGACAGTGCTCTGTGTCAGAGGGGTAGGCCTTGGGGACACTGATTTTTTTTTTAAAAAAGAGGAACTAGAGTTTTTAGGCTGGAAACAGAAGCAAAGTTCAAAATGTTTTAGCACAAAAATCTCCAGACTGCCCCTGGGCCAGCGTCCTGGAGGCCCCCTGCCAGGTTATAACCTTTCCTCCCTGGGAGAGGGGGTGGGTCAGGGAGCAGCGGGATCATCCCTCAGTGCTTACGGGGCTCGGCGTGGGAGCACCTTGGCGGGGCTCTGAGTGTGTGGGAAGAGGGGCTTCGGCCTGATGCACTGAGAACGCCCCTTGTTTCTGCCCTCACTGCTCGCACCCCATCGTCTGTTGGCCACTCTTTCTACAGATCCCGCTAAAGTCACCACACCCAGTGAGAGGCCAGCCCCGGCCGACCGCGTCAGCCAGAACCCTGCCGGTCAGTAACCCCCTTCCCGGACGGAGACCGGCCTCCCCGCACCCCGCGAGCCTGGCTCTCACAGTGCTGCGCAGGACTCAGTGAACAGGGTTGGGCGAGCCCAGCAGGTCACGCCGGGCAGAGGGTGGGCACAGGTGGACATGCGGTCAACGTCTGATAGACGAGCCACCCCAGAACTCCACGGCTTGAGAGGGCAATTTGGTTAGTGCTCAAGTCTGCAATTTGGAGCCTGGGGCTGTTCACCTGGTCTCGGTCATCTGAGCTCTGGGGTCAAGAGGGAGCTCAGCTTTTAGGGTGCCTTGATTTTGCCCTCATGGTCTTATTGTCCACTTCCTGCCTAGCCACCCCCAATAATAAATCTTTTAAAAAGTACTAATTGAGCACCTACTGTGTGCTGGACCCTGTTTTCACTTCCAGGGGTACAGCAGTGTACAAGACAGACAAAACTCTTCCCTCATGAAACAGACATAGAGACACCTAACAAACATCACAGTAACAATGTTATCAAGTGGTTTTAAGTTGCTCTCAAGTAAAACAAACCCAGATAGGGTGAGAGAGTGCTTGGAAGTGTTTTCTATAAAGGGCAGGGCAGACCCAACTGAGAAGAGACTGAGGGGATCATGTGGATGTCTGGGGCAGGGTATCCCAGGCAGAGGGAGCAGTCAGTGCAAAGGCCCTGTGGTCAGGAGTCTGGCACGTTCACCAGCAGGGCAGCCAGTGGGGCTGGAGTCGGGGGGAGAGTGATAAGACAAGAGGGGCCGAATTGTGTGCCACTGAGGATTTGGGGTTTTGTTCTAAGTTCACTGAGGCTGAGACCCTGTGCCCCTTCTCCCTGACTCCACCATTCACTAATTTATTCCACAAACTTTTGCTGCACTCTGACTTGCTCCCCATCTGTTCCCTCCAGATTCAAATGAAGATGATCCTTTCTACTATGGTAAGTCACCCGGGGGGATGACTGGGGGGCAAGCAGGCAGAAGGGGGAAAGGCCCCCTCTCATGTACCCCTCCATTTTTCTCTCTGCAGATGTGTACACTCTCCGGAAAAGGGGGCTGTTAATCGCAGCAGTGCTGTTCATCACAGGCATTGTCATCTTCACCAGTGAGAGGGGGGTGGGGGGGTGGCTTGGGGGAGGGAGGGAGGGAGACTTCACCCCTGAAGTCTCCTGGGTGAGGCTGTCTTAAATGAGGCACAGCTGTTGGCTCAATAGCCACACGAAGCACCCCAGAAATCAGTGACTTCAATGGGAACCTTTATTTAGTTCTCAACCCAGCAATTTGGAAATGTAGGCTCAGCTCTGCTGGGTGGTTCTTCTGGTGGCTGCTGGATGTATTCACACATCTAAGGTCAACTTCAGGTCAGCAGGAAGGGCTGCTTCTAGGGGTACCTGGGGGTCTTCGCCTGGTGTCTCACCCTCCAGGAACTTAGCCTGAGGTCTAAAGGAATGAGTAAAAACACACAGGCCCTGAACTGGCCATGCATTTTCCGCCACAGCAAATGGATAAAGCAAGTTGCGAGACCCCTTCATTCCAGAGGTCAGGAAATAAACTCCACGCCTTAAAGGCCAGAGAGGCGAAGTTACATTGAGAGACACGGACACTAACAGTGAGGGACAGTCAACACGCTGGGGCCGGGGTGGGGGGGCTGTTCACCGAGGTGTGAGACATGAAGGAGACCAGGAGGGAGCTGACCATGAGGGTGGAAGCCTCACCCTCACTCACTCAGCTGAGCAAGAAGAGTGAAGGGGACAGGGCAGAGCTTAATTACTGTGTGAATCTTCCCTGGGCTTAGGTGTTGGGAGCCCTTCTTCCTCTGGTCTGAGTGGTGACAAAGGTTGATTAGAGTGCTTAATAGTGGCATGTGAGGTAGGGGAAAACACAGCACCCCAGGGCCAACAGCAGTGGGGAGTGTGATCATCCCAGCCTGAAGGGGCGATGAGTGTTGTGTCAGGCTAGTGGGGGATGGGGGGTGGGGTGCAGCTGCAGAGGCTCCCTGGCAGGAACTGCCTCCTAGGAGATCACCCCAGCTTGGCTCCCTGTAGCCCAAAGGAGGGAGCGGGGTGGAGAGGAGGAGCAGCCCAGCCAGGCTGAGGGGACTGGGATGTTGTTCTTTGGTTAGCCTCCCAGGGCCCAGCCTAGCTCTGAGAGGGGCAGAGGGAGGTGACCAAGCAGAGAAATGCATTTTTTGGTCATTTTCTCAATGTTGTAGGCTATACAAAACATAAGTTTGCCGGCACTGGTAAAACTGCGTAACTGCCGTAATAGGTGTCACTATTTTTGTCCACCGTGCAAATGGGCACAGCTATGTCTTCTTCGCCTTGGGGTGGGCAGGCGGATAGTCATAATAATCCATAATCAGTAACCACAGTGATGCAGACTGCTGACGGCCTGACGCGCTGAATCCAGAGGGCAAGCGTGGCCACCTCAGTCACTCAGCGTGTTGGCCCCTCCTGACTCTGTCAGGCCCATTCTCTGCTCTGTGGGAAAAGCAGAGTTTGGGGCTCGGAAACAGAAGGGTTTCCCACCGTCAAGCACATGAAAATGAAGGACGGGTCGCAGGATGCGGGAGGAACAAACATTGGTGCCAAGCTGTGTTGGGGGCACAAGCCTTGCCCTGTGGCATCCGGGGCAGACCTGGGAGCCCAGCTCCTGACAGACGTGCCTTCCTTCCACACAGGCGGCAAATGTAGGCGGTTGCCCCAGTTATGCCGGAGCATTTGCAGGTGAGTGCACCAGAAGTGGGGCCAGCGATCTCACAGGCAACCTGAGGCCCAGCCCAGGCTGGCTCATGCGCCCAGCTCCTCCCTCCTCTGGCAGAGACTACACAGTGGTCAGTGAAGCTCAGTCCCAGCCGGCAAGGGAAGACATGGATGGAGTCTGAGCTGGGCCAAAGGCCCAGCCGCAGCAAGTTGCCTGTTGTGTTTGTTAATAGAGTAAAGCCTATGTGTTCTTCCCCACCCGCGGTCTCTGGTCATTCCTCACCGGAAGTGGAAGGGAGCAGCAGGGGCTGAGGGAGGCCCACTGAGGAGCCAGTCAGGGGCTCACGGACCCCCAAGCCCAGGAAGGGCAGAGAGTGAACAAAAGCCCTGGGGGCGAGTGGAAGGATTAGGGGTTTGGGGGGGCGAGGCGTTAGAGAGAGTCAGGGTTGGGTTCTGCCCTGCCCTGGTTGATGTGCACAGTCAGGCCTTCCAGGTCTGAGGGTCCCAGGGACCCAGAACACGGCTGGGAAGGGGAGCAGGCTCTGGTAGGTATGTCCTGAAGGTTTTGGGGCCCCACCAGATGAGGCCAGAGGTGGCCTCCAAAGTGTAGGGCTGTGGCGTGGCAGGGGGAGGAGATGTCTGCCCCAGTTTAAGGGTCATATGCCAAAGTAAAGAGAAGAGGTGCTCACAGGTGGTTGCATAATCGTATTCACAGACGTCAGGTCTCACGGCCCCTCTGAGGGCTACAATCAGCTCAACAGACTGTGAGTTACTTAAAAAATAAAAGAAATACTAAAAAGAAAATATCAGCATGTACCCCAACCCTGTCCCCAAGGTTTGTGACAATCCCTCCCCCGCCATGACTCATGCTTTTTAGAGATCAACTCCCTTTTTAACTTAAATATATTTATTTTAAAAAACACAACCATCTGTGGCAAACCAGTACTGCTTCTGACCCATAGAGACGGCCTTGAAGATCAACGCAATGAAGGCAAACAAAGAAAAAGAGAAATTGCGTTCTGGTAGATACCGGGTTGCTGGCCAAGGGCTCTGAGCCGGAGGCCAGAGTCCACTCTGTGGAGCCCTCCAAGTGACCCTACTTTCCAGAGACCACAGAGCCTGGGAGGTCCCATGCCACATTCACTTCTGCCAGCTGAAAGTTTGAGGGTCCCCACCTCCCCTGGTTTTGGCAATCATCAGGAGAACTCCAGGACTCACGGACAGTTGGGACCCTCATGGCTGTGGTTTAGTACGTGAAAGACACCAGATTAGAACTGGCCGAGGATGAGGACATCCAGGGCAGGGTCCAGGAAGCTCGAAGCTTCCAGTTGTCCTTTCCCAGGGGAGTCCCAGACAGCACCAGCTTCTGGCAATGGTGACAGTGTGTGACCATCCATGGGAGACTCCCAAAATTGATCCCACTATGACTGTGTCCTCTGGAGTCTGAGCCCCAAGTCTGAGCCACCCCTGTCAGCCACACTATTAGAAACCACCTGTGGCCCACGTCCCCAGGGAAGCACATGTGTGAGGCAGGACCCACCACCGGCTTAGCGGTTAACCCCCAGGAGCTGAGGGTAAGGTGAACTCTTCCCGACACTGACGCACTCACCCGCTTGTCATTGCGGGGGATTAAAAACATCCAGAAAGTGATTTTCTCTCGTGTGTGAGCCCATGTGAGTTTGTGGTCCCTGGCACCAGCGCACACGCCGTCCTAGAGTCCAGCTCTGACTGAGGCATTGACAGCATGGGTTCCCGACAGCCTCTGGGCAGAACAGGGCGGTGCTGGCCACCACGTGGACCCCGAAGGGCTGGCACGGAGCATCCATGCCCCCCCCTCCAGCTTCCCCCACCCCAGCTTCCCAGGGGGTAGAGATGCCTTAGCTAGTCCTATGACCCCCAACCTCTGGTCTGGGGTTCTGGGCATGAATTTTACTCGATGAGATTTGGACGTCCAGAAGGGGCCATCTTTCTAGCTTATTTACCTGCTTTCTGCAGGTCAGTCTAGCATGAAGATGATGAGCTTTTGGTCACATTATTCTGGCCCTTAGTCACTAGCCTGTGGCATTAACAGGGAACTTTGCCAAAAGAAAAAAAAAAAAAAGGATATCTAGACCAATAATCCCACGAAAAGATAGATGCTCATCTCATTCATCATCAAAACAAGGCAGATGGAAAGCAGGATGAGACGCCCACAGAATGGTGAAAGTTAAAACCAATATTTTTTAAATGGAAAAAATTTGAAATAAAAAAAAACCAATATTTTTATTGTCAGTAACACCAAGAGTGACAATACCAAGTACTGAGAGGGATGTGGAACACATAGAATTTTCATAAGTTTCTGGTGAGGATGTAAATTGGTACCATCACTTTAGAAAACTATCAGTGTCCTTAAAAGATAAATGCGTGCTTAATATATGGCCCAGCCATTCAATTTTATGGATCTATTCAAGAGGAATGAAACCAGGTGTCCACAGAGAGGTGCCCAGGAGTATGCACAATGCCATCACCTGTGAGAGTGAAAAGTCAGAAACAACCTAGATGACCTTTGGCATAGGAGAGTGAATAGAGGTGATGGCATCTATGGAATACTACACAGCAATGAAAAGGCAGGGCTGTGGCCAAACACACCAACTCGGACACATCTCCAAAAACATTATGCTGAATGAAAGGAGCTGGCATAAACAAAACTGACTGATGATGACAGACTCCACCAGAACCATAGTTGCCTCTACAATTATCATGTTGTATAATTGTACTATAGGGAGGTCGACTGAGAAGGGACTTTCTTGTGGGGACTTTCCTGAAGGACTGACATTTTCTGTACCCCGATAGCAGGCAGGTGGCATGGATAAATACTGGTCAGAACAGACCCAGCAGTGCATTTTTAAGATTTGTGTATCCTGCTATTTGTAAGTTTATACCTCAACACAAAACGCACCAAACTTGAACACAAAAGGAGAGGGCTGGTTCAGTCATTGTAAAATAATTGAAAAAAAAAAAAAATGTCTGCTTCCAGCTCCTGGCAGAACTGGCTGCACTGGCTGCAGCTTTTGTTCCTGCAGCTTGCATTGCTACCTCACTCCTCACAGACCTCCTAAATCCCTTGCGACCTCATGGGTGGCAGGAGTGTGGTTTATTCCAAGGACACAGCACCTGGCAGCGTCCTGCATGGGGACTTGGCCAGAAAGGCTAAGCGATGACTGGGATTGGGAGCTGGGCACGTTCCAATCTCTTTCCTCCAGGAAAGGGAAAGGGCCAGAAATGGAGTTAATGATTCATCCTGCTGTGTACCACAGCTTCCACCAAGGGCTGGGGGCAGCGAGGTTCCCAGGTGCTTCACACCTGCAGGCACAGCCTCTCCCTCCCTTGGCATCTCCAGTATTACTCACTTGCAAATATGCTTCCCTAGTTCCCCAGCAGGTGATTAGATGCCGGGGAGGGAACCATGGGGACATGGTGGGACAGAAGTTGTGGGTACTCCAGTGACCTACTACTGGCAATTGGCATCTGAATCGGGGGAGGCGCAGCCTAAGGCTGACCCCTTAATGTGTCCATGTTTGTGGGAGGGAGGTTGGGGGGTGAAGGGGGAGGTTTGCATGAACCTGGTTAGCTCAGAATTGCATTGTAGGACACCCTGCTGGTGTCACAGAGAATTGCTTGGTGTGGGAAAAACCCCACCCACCTGGTGCCAGAGCTGAGCGTGGCAGTGCTGTGAGAGTGCTGGAGAGACACAGGAGGAGCCAGTCGGGGGCGCCTGCCGTCCTAGCCTAGAGTCCACTCCACAAGCCTTTCCACAGAGCTTGTGAGCCCCAAATTCCCTCTATCATTCCCAGTCCATTTTTGCTGGAAACTGGAATAGCCGATCGCAAAATCTCAGTGGCTGACAATGGTAAAGGTTTGTTCTCACGCCCACTGCAAGTCTGTGGTGAGTGAGCTAAGCAGAGACGCCCACAGCAGGCACACGTCTGGGCACCACCGACAGAAGGAAAAGAATACAGAGACGTGTGCTGGGAGGCGGCTCTGGCTGAAGGGGGCCCGTGGGGCTGGCTCGGGGCGCCCTTGCCTCTGCAGGCCCAGTGGGTGCGACCCTGGAGGCTGGGAGGGCCCTACCGCTGGTAACCCTGTTGCAGATCTGACGCAGTGAGGCACCTGCTGCCGAGTGCCCCGAGTGAGAGTGAGCATCATTTGACAAGACAAGGCATGTCTTGGGGGTACCGTAAGGGCACCCGCAGATCCTGGGTGAAAACAACCAGTGCCTTCCATTTACTAAGGAGATCACAACCCAGGGTGGAGCCATCTGTAAGGTGTCACCAGGCCGGCACCGACCGAGGGGCTGAAGGAAGGCTTGTGTTATGCCCCTCTATATTCCCAGCGAGGGGTACAGGTTTCTTACTGTCCTGAGCTAACTTTGACTTTAGAACCAAGTAGGTTGCGGGGCCCTTGCTGGTGGCGCAGCGGGTAAAGCACAGCACCGCAAGTCACTTCAGTGTGAGTTCCATCCCCGCCCCGGAAGTGACCCACAGACCTCTCCTGACCCGCCCGCTGCTCCCCTCAGCAGTGTACTTCGTCGATCTGCCTGTTCTGCTCCCACTCTGTGTCTGGTGAAGCCTCTCACCGCCCCTGCACCTCTGGCCTGCACCCCAGTTCTGTATGCATAAGTAAATCTTTTTAAAAATCCATTAAAAAACAAAAACAGTCAATAGGCTCCAACTATAAGCCTAAATAACTCCCAACCGTGCAAACGATACCTTGCTGATACCAGGCCATCTCATGCCTGCCAGTCCACAGCCTGTGATGGGAGCAGAGGGGAAAGGGGTGGTGGGCAAGCAGAGCCCTCAAACGGATGGGGCAATCCAAGACTAGTGTCAGTACCAGCCCCAGCCCCGGGAACAACTCCTGCCAGGAGGCTTGCCATTGCTCTGTGCTTTAAGGTGACCAAAGCAAAGTGAGGCCCTTGGGCTGGTCAACCTGAGGCGTCCAGTCCTTTCACAGTTGCCAATTCAGACAGCACAAGGAGCTATTGGGTCAAAAGGTGAGAGCCAAGGTGGAGGACAGGTCACCGTGGATTCTCACCTGTGCCCACCACTGCAAGACCACTGGGGTTCAGGGAACAAAACAGCGGGGTGCATTTAACAAACGGAAACAAGGCGTTGCCAAGGCCGCAGGGCCCGGCTCACTCACCCCCAGATGGTGTCCGCAGCGTCCAGGAGTCCCAGACCAAAGGCCGCTCGTCCAAGATGGCGACTTCCCGCCAAGGA